TGGGGCTTATTTATAGCACAGGAAAGGGACTGGGGCAAAAGAACCACTCATTTGGTAATCCACCCTGACGGGGCCAGATAGGATCCAGACCCCCAAGCTCTCTGGTAACAGGGTGAGCAGAAATAGGGGCCGGAAGAGGGCTGGCTGCCAGCATCACCAGGTACAACCTCGTAAAGGCCCTGGTTAAGAGAAGGAGAAAAGATCTCATACTCAGACCATCTCACCATCCTGGGTCCAAGTGCTCTTGCTACGTCCAATTTCTGGTTGAAGAAACTAAGGCGTGGGAGTGGACTCTCTTGAGGCCAAGGAAGGCTCAGGATTCAACTCAAGGAACGGTGGTGCTATGAGAAGAGGAAACGAAAACATCCTTGCATCTTCCAGGCACCGGAGGAAATAGTGTTAACAGATTCTTCACTTACAGCTGGGGCTAAAAAGTATGTGCAGAGCCCTCGGCCACTGACGTGCTCCCAGCATCTCACACAGCTCGAGAATGCCCACGAGAACTCGAGCGGCCTGAGCTCAGGACAGTGTCTTACTCACCTCTCTTTCCTGGAGCTGGCACAGAGTCGAGCAACTGTGCTCTGATGAATGAATGATTAGGAAAACCGAACAACTGCACAAATGTTATCTTACCTCACCTGGATTAATAAGGAGCTGGCTGTCCTTCGGCTGTGATTACCAGAAAACCAGACGCTCCTTGAGTTTATTCTTGGGCAGAGGTGCTCATGATAGAAGTTGGTAGCTATAAATAAAAGCCCAAGTAGTTATATTCTGAAGGGAAGCCGTTTATGGTGGCCTCCATAAGGAAACACTCTATATGGAGTGGCTGGGGGTTTGGGTCTAAGACATATGGACTCCAGTCCCTGCTCTGCTGAGAGCTTGCAGGCAAGACAGAGCTTTGCTGAGAAACTTCTAGCAGACACAGCTGCCTCATAGCTCTCGGGAGCCACGCACGCATCCTTCTTTGTCTTCTCCTGACAGCTCTGTACCCTTCAGCAGGACTGGGAAGAAATGCAGTCATTGGGAGCAGAATGAGAGAGACAACTCTACTCCCGAAAACATTGTAAATTTGGGGAAACAGAAGTCCAGGCACAGATGCTGGTGACTCAACTGTTTCTTGAAAATGAGAGAGGCCTGGGAAGCTGGGAGAGGGGGCCCCAACTCTGCCCATCTCCCCTGTAATGTCAGCATGGGTGAGCCTGATGTGAAAAAGCCGTGGCACAAAGTTGCCTGTGCGGACCAACACTCTGTCCCCAGGAACCTGGAAATCACGGAGCCTGAGATGCAAATCCCTGCTGACCCATCCAACTGACAGTGACAAATGTGGATGAGAGGTGTGGGTCGGCCCAGAATGCACCCAGCCTAAAGAGAGGAGAAAACCTTCACATTGCAAGTAGGGTCCTGCCAGGAGGTCAATGAAGTCTGTTCACAGACCGTCAGATGATGCTTGGTTGGCACAATGGGGCCACAAGCTATCCCTGATCATACTCAGAAAATGGTGAGTATCCAACATTGGCCTCAGACAGGAGCCCCAGGGCTTAGAAGGGAGCAGGGCTGAGGTGAGTAGACAGGCCCCCGGTTTCATGTACCTGCAGGCCCTCCGGCAGGCTCAGGTTGCTTCCAGAGTCTTCCTGAATGGCAGCTGCCCTCCAGGATGGCGAGCAGCCCTGCCAGGATGGCTCCTTGGGAAGTGGCTGAGAGGCTGGGGGCCAATTTCGTCCTCTCCCCCCGCCTCTCCATGCCAGGGTGGCTTGGGGAGCGGCTGCTGTGGCTTCTGCCACTGCCACAGGCTACCTGGGCCACGCGAGATGGGAAAGGGAGCCTACCCCCAAAGAAGCTGATGGCCCCGAAGCAAAGGAGACCCACCAGGCTCAGGATGGGTGGCTGACGGGAGACCGCTGTCAGCCCAAACCTCTCCCAGTGGGGCTCCCACGGGACCCTCTCACTGGCTAGCCATGAAATGTCGCCAGACCTGAGCCACTTCCCAAGCAGCCTCTGCCTTCAGCTACTTGTTATTTCTTCCATCAAAGGGTCTTGACTTTTACCCGGGCAATCACACCTTCAGAGCCTGTGGCTAGGAACCCGCATCTTTCCGTGGGAGGGACACTCCAGCCAGAGACCAGCATCCCAGGCAGCCACTGGGGCACAGGGCACAGGGCACAGCTCCCTCAACGAATGACAGCAAAGAGGCAGCCTGCCCCTTCTGGCTCCCGGTCCCGGACAGCACGTGCCAGGAGGGTGCTCACTTCTTTCCAAAGGCAGTGGAGAAACTAGCCTGGAAAACCACAAGCTGGCAGCACAGCTGGAAGGACGGAAGGCTCTGGCGGAGGAGCCAGGTGGTCGGAGCTCTGAACTTTGTGACGCTGAGTATGGAGAAGAGACGGTATCGCATCATTAGCGGGTGAAGAACCAGAGCTTCTGAGAACACAAGTTGTTAGTTTCCTCTTCAATTTTCCTAGAGAGGCAGGGACGTGCCTAAACATATGGAAGGCTTGCTACAATACACGAGATAAGGTTATTAAGAACTACATAATGTTAACCGGCAAAAAAGGGTTTCCAACCTGCATTCCAAGTGGGCTCATCCCAGGTAGGTCCCTGGGGGCAAAGGCGAATGACTCAGTGCACATCCAGGCCTGCGCCAGGCCCAGCTCAGGTTCATCTTCTGTGCAGGCCAGCAAGATGCAATTTCTTAAAAAAAAGATTTCTTAATCTAAAACCAGCTGTTGTCTGCTGTAGGCCAGCACATGACATTTTAATTAGCGTGATTGTTCTGCTTCTGAAACCAGGCTCTGTGGCATCCCAAGGGCAGATGATCTCGGCCCAAGCTTTTGGGTGAGGCTCGCTGTGAGCAGCTCAGGGATACACGGGGAAGGGGAGACGGCATCCCCAGCCCCCTCAGAACCCATGAAGCCTGATCACCGGCTGTACCGTCGCCCCGGGTTTCTTCTTGTGGCCCGCACCACCTGCCTGCTCGTGAGATGGAAACATTGACGTTTCAAGTGCCTGGGATACAATACTCAGTAACAGAAATCGTTCCATGCTACATTGCCAGATTGAACCCACAATATTTCTAGGAGTAGTGAGGTGCCTTGCATGGAGTTTTCAAGCCACGAGAAGTCCAGTGACTCCCCTATGAAAGTGATAAAGTCACACCAACACAGCCCCCTGGGGCTCCCAATCATCTTGGATCCAAGTGCTCCTCTTCCAAAACCGAAAGGCTAATGAAGTTTTAAAAAAGGAAAGAGAAAACCTTTACCCTCAGAGAGGGAGGCCTGGATTACAAGGCAGCCACTAAGGCGGTGGACTCAGTGACATGTCACCAGGGACATGAAAAAGAGCAGAAAACCTGAAGGGGCGAGGCTGAGGGGATGACACATGTAGAGCATTGGTGCTGTCCTTGGCTGCCGGCAAGGATTTAAATGGGAGGCCCAGCCCCTCCACCCACCCTGAATCCTGGGAAGCAAGTTAGGGAACCCCAGCAAGGGGAGCGGGACTTCCTGTCTGTGACAACACAATGCCCCTTCTCTTGGTTTCCATCCTAGCATCCCCACAATTATAAATATGAGATTACACGCCTGCCCACGTCCCCTACTGGTGGGAATGTAGTTATTCAAATCCGCAGTATTTCTTAGGCACCAGTGTTTGAACGCAACACATCAGACAAATCACAGCTTCCATGTCTGCACCTGCAAGGTGAACGGACGGGAGGGGGCAGCGTCTCACCCCTCCCACTAGAATAGTCCAGTGGTCTCACTCCTCCCTGCGAGAGAAGACGAAACTCTTGTGCTTCCCCCTTTCGGTTCAGCTGCTTCTTGAAGTCTCCTTTGCCCTCTCGAAGTCCATGGGAAGACATGTAAAGTGATTCTTGTTCAAACTATAGGTTTCAAAGCTGTCTCTGGGTAACTCTGCGCCTGCGTGTCACTCAAGAGAACAATGGGTGGTGGGTGAGTGACTTCGACGGGCACACAGCTGGGTTTCAGTAATTACAACCGTATTCCAAGCAAACTGTCATGTATTCTGTGTTCTGGGGACATATGTTATGGCTAAAGCCCAAACTGTGGCTAATCTTAATATTAGAGGCAGAGAAATCTGTTTCGAATCCATAACATTTAACATTTGCCAGAGTAGATTTGTTCATCAACGGGGCTTAAAGAGGTATAATTCACACATGTGCAATATTACTAAATGCTGAAATCGAACGATTTAAATATCCTGGCAACTACTGCAAAGCGGGTGTTGGAGCAGCATTTAACATTAGCCAGAACCTCCCTGGCTAACGTTCAGTTTACACCGAAGGAATGAGGGAAATTTTGGCATCCCCTTGCAGCGGGGGTCACAGCTCCCTTGACATGTACAGCAGGGCACTAGCGAGAGCAGCTCGGGGTACGGCTTTGGAGGCTGTTTTCCCTGAGAAGACCCGTAAACACTGACTGGATCGAATCAAGAAGCAAACAGATTCCTCTGGAGGTTTTGGGAGGCATCTTCTCTCCGAATGTTTACAGTTTGGGGATCTTTTACTTGACGCGCACGGCCCCGGACGCTCCTCCTGGCTACATACCGTCCCAGACACAGACGGTAGACTGGAGGTAACCAGAAGACGGAGTTAACAGCACACACACAAAAAAAGAAGAACGTTCCTGGGATTCCCAATAATCAACATTTCAGACATAGTATAAAAAGGAATAAAAAATTATTTTAATTATACCAAAAAGCCAAACCAAAGAGGAATGGTTCATGGAACTTACAGGATCCCAATCCAGCACTGGGGGCTCTGCCCATGCGTGGGCCCAGCGCCCCTGGTCCCGGGGCAGATGTCAAATCCCATGAAGATGTCGGGATTTTGCACCAAGTTCTTGGTTTGGCTTTTCGGCCTAAAAACCTCACTGATCTGAAATAGTTAAAGGTGAGATATGGGTGCGATCTACGTTGAGTCCCCACATCTAATATGGCCCGTAGGTTTGTCTTCTCCACAGTCTTAGGGTCCACGATGCCTCCCCCTAGATTGTCTTATTGGAACTGAAAACGAGGGGAGCCTGAGCTGGATTTAAGCCCAGAGCGTGCCACAAAGGCTTCCATTTGGCATTTTCAACAAGAACCCATCAGAGATCACAGGAAACACTAGAACCGGGCACGCACCATTCAAGGTGCTTCAACACTCTCTTCAGGTTCCGGTTCTTGAGGAAGCAGACTGGGTGTGCCGGCCCAGCATGTCGGTCAGAGATCCCCCACACTCTGGTAGCAGAGTGCCGGGGCGTCTGTGTTCTCCCCGTCCAAGCTCAACGTTCAGACCTCCGCCAGGCGCGTTTCATAAGCTGCCAATGTTGGGGAAGCTCTTCAGTTTCTCCGGAAAGTCGTCTTTGTACAGGACAGGGTCAGCCCGGTGTTCCACCACCTTAAGAGGCATGGTCCCAAAGACGGACGCGAACTTGTTGATGCACTCAGACCTGAGGGGTTTGGGGAGAGGAGGCAGGTGATGGATGAGTGGGCAAGGAGTGAGGAAAACGGAGAAAATATTCAAGAGGCTGACAGATGAGAGCAAAACACGTACTATTCAGTATCAACACAAGAAATCCTGGGCTCTTACAAAAGGGTGGGAAGGTGTGGACAGCAGGAGTGATCTGGGGGGACCGTGACTATGGTTCAGGGGGAGAAACAGGGGGTGCTGTCTGGAGGCCACGGGCCTGCAGAGGTCAGAGTATCTTTTCCCTTCCCCCTCAAATTCCAGTCATTCTTCCCCCTCAGTACACACAGGCCTCAAACCAAGGTGGATTCACTGCCAACAATTCTTAACCCCCTATGTGCCAGCTGAAGAGAAGGCGAAGGGGGGAGAGGGTCCTGCATCTGAGCTCCAGCTTCCTGAAGTTTAAAAGGCCGAGGGGAGGACCTTACACCTGGAGCAGTGAAAGGCAGAAGGTAACAGGTGGGGAACCTCACCTCCGAACAATAAACCCTTCCCTCACTCGGCCAGCATTTAAGGAGCACAATCCCTGAACTGCCGGCCAGCGGAGAGCTGCCGTCCGTGCCCGCCACTCCCAGGCGAGAGTGAGCAGTGCCATCGGGCTCTGTGAGGGAACAGCCTGGCAGCTCTGCGGGAGGGGAGACGACATGTCCTCCCCTCCGTATCACCCCTGGAGCCCGGGAGCAACCTCCTTGGGGCTGAGCGGGCCAGGCACACTGGTGGGAAATGGTTCTGGTCACTCAGGCCAACTGAGTGTGACAGCTGGGAGGGGGCATCCGGACCAGAGGGGAGAAACAAGCCCGTGAACATGGCTTCAACCTCCAGGATGGATTTCGGAAAGGTCAGTACTGTCTCCCCTCAAGTCAGGCCCAGGCACCGGAGGGCTATGGTAAGAATAAACCAATCAGGCAGGACCATTTACCCAAGAGTGGCTGAATTTCAAGACACAGACCAGAAGTCTCTTCCGTCCTGAGGTACCAGGAGCCTTGTCTCAAATTATTTTCATCTACAAGTGTTTGAGTCTTTGGAGCTTTAGGAAGAAACCAATTTATAAGGAGCCAAGCGTCGTTCTTTCCTCTCAGTCATTACGTTTCTAAAACAATGTGTTACCATTCCATTCGGAGCTCTTCTGGCTACCACCACCGTGTCCACCACCGTAAGTCAACAGCAAAGAGGTCTCAGAGGCTCCGGGCTGTGCTATAAGCGCGCTACGGAGATGAGGAAACCCCTCTATCATGCCAACAACCCTTCCCATTTTACACTGGGAAGACAGAGATATGGAGAGGCTGAGTAACACCTCCAAAGGGCAACTAACAGTAAGAGGCAGAGCCAAAGTCTGGCAGTCTGGCTCCTGAGACTAAAAAATCTTAATGATGAGCTGATACGAATTTATTTGTGAATAAAATTCCCGAGTCCAAGTGGAGGGGCTGGAAATGAACTGCTGAGCACCTATTATGTGCCAAATAATTTACAAACGTCATTTACTGATTCATTGAAGCAGGCCCCTTGGTAGCCCCAAGGGCTGGTTTACAGGAGCTTCCTGTTAGGGGCTGAGCAGTTAAAGCTGAGGCCCGAAGCCCCAGAGCTGGCAAGTGCTGGAGCTGGGTCTCTAATGCGGGTCTACACAGGCAAGTGCTGAAGCTGGGTCTCTAATGCGGGTCTACACTGGCAAGTGCTGGAGCTGGGTCTCTAATGCAGGTCTACAC